TGTAACCTGGACAAATCAACAGCTCCTCATTCTTCCTCATGCCTGCATCCAGCCAGTCACCAAGGCCTACCGATTGCACTTCCTGTTTTTCAAATCCATTACTCTCTCTCCACTCCCTGCTGCCCCTGCCATCATCTCATTCTAGGTTACTGATACAGCCACCCAACTCATCTTCTGCATCCAGAGATACCCCAAGGGAGGGGTCCTAGTGGTACGTTCACACTGTCGTATGTTTTTGTATGATTTGCAAATAAATAAATAAATAAATAAATAAAACTTAACCATAATAAGCTAAGACTCTTGTCTCTTGTGGCTCCAATTTCTCTGTCACGTGTCCTCTTACATCAGAGGCCTTTACAGTGCTACAGGCATCTTTGGGATTCAGCTACAGAGCAGCTGGGGTGGGGATTTATTTAACTTGAGTACAGTAGGATCTATTTGCAGGGTTCATTGTTGCTTCCATAAGTAGGTAAATTATTGCTTAGAGACTATTCCTACCATCCGATGTGCTGACTCTCTTGGCCTCATATAGCAATGCAATCATGCCCTAGGGCACCCAGCCTGGAAGTAGGTAAGTTGTGGAAGAAAAACAAGTTTCAAAATGTATGGGGCCAGAACCTATACTGAGGAAATTTCTTTGGAATATTACAGCTCACACATTAAAGGATTTGAAAGAGATTTCCTGATTTTGATAACAGTTCTAAAAATTTATATGATATTATCAGTAATAAAATGTGAAGCTTTTCTGCTTTTCCCAACTACCAATACTGACAAACTTCAATCACCGTAGTCAAGTGAAAAATTTCCATTCTCTCTAGATAAAAAGATTACAAACTATTGCCATCTGAAAAGACAACAAGTGCTCTACCACTGAGCCACAACCCCAGCCCAAACACACATAAGGGAAGAATGGTACAGGTGTTTCAAACAGTGAAAAAATTCAAAAAATGTTTCAGGCAGGCACAGTGGCACATGCCTGTCATCCCAGCAGCTCAGGAGGCTGAGGCAGGAGGATCCCAAGTTCAAGGCTGGCCTCAGCAACTTGGTGAGGCCCTCAGAACTCGGTGAGACTCTGTCTTAAAGTAAAAAATAAAAAGGGCTTGGGATGTGGCTCATTGGTAAAGCCCCTCTGGGTTCAATCCCCAGTGATGGTCATAAATAGTGATATTTGTGCTTCTTTTAAACTTTTTGTATTGAATATTTGTATCTTCCCCAAATTCCTGTGTTGAAATCCAAAACCTTGATATGGGATCAGTGCCTTATGAAAGAGACCCCAGGCCTCTTTTTGTCACATGAGGGTACAACTAGAAGCCAGCAGGGTGCAGTGCAGAAGAGGGTGCCTGCTGGAACCTGACTGTGCTGATGTCCTGATCTTGGAGGACTTCCAGCCTCCAGAACCGTGAGAAATCCATCTCTGTTGTTTGCAAACCACTTGGTCTATGGTACTGTGTTACGGCATCCTGAACTAAGACACATGCAAATTGCAATGACTTCTTTACTAACTCTAAACACACAATAATTTTTTTTAAAGTATTTTTTAGTTGTACTTGAACACAATGTCTTTATTTTTATGCTAAGGATCAAACCCAGTGCCTCACACGTTAGGCAAGTGCTCTACCACTGAGCCATAGCCGCAGCCCCAACACACATTCATCTTTAATCCCTCACTAGAATGTACATCTACCTACATCATTTTCTGACTTATAATATTTCAATGGCACCCTATTACTTGTATTTCACCCTATTACTTGTAATTCCTAATATGGCCTATTCAATTGCATTTATCATCTTAGTGAAGTAGAAGATAATGTCACCTGTGCAAGTATTAGGGTGATGGTTTACACCAGACAGTGAGAAGCAGAAATGATCAGGGACAAAAGAGAATGGGAGATTGTTAAAGATCCAAATTATTAGTACAAATCTCTGTCCCAGCAAGTTCACACTGAAGTTTAAAATACTCCTGCCTGGATGCTACCCTTTGGGTAAGAGTCCCCCAAAGGCCTATGTGTCAGAGGCATGGTTCCCAGCTTGGTGCTGTTGGGAGCTCATGAAATCTTCAGAGGTGGGACCCTTCAGGAGGTCTTTAGATCATTAAGGGCATACCCCAAAGGGGATTGTGGGACCCCAGCCCCCTCCTTCTCCTCTCATTTCCAGGCGAAGAAGTGAGCGGTTTTACTCTACCTTGAGCTTCCACCATGATGCTCTCTCTCATGGACCCAAACCACCAAAATGGTGAACCAAAATAAACCTTTCCTCTTTATAAAAATTAACTCTTGTCCAGAATAAAACACTAGGTGTTCATGTCACAAGCTCTAACAGGAAACCCTCTGGGTCTGGACACCAGATAAGCACTAATGGAATGACTGAGTAATATTCCTCCTTGATTTTCTTGGGAACAATTGAGCAATAACAATTACTGCAGCTCCTATATATAGGAAACTGTCCACAGAGGCTTTGAGGATGAGTGGGCACAATTTCCAGAGAGTTTCTAACTTTAGCTGAAAACAGAATAAGTGAACAATAATAAAAACTAGCTCCTATGTGTCATTCCCTGAGAAGTGTGGACCATATCGCTCAGATGTGGAAGTGGGGTACCCTGCTCCACTTCAAGACTCCAATCTGGTTCTGTTCCCCTCCAAAGTCTCGCTATTCTGTAAGTCCACTCCTCACACAATGCTGGGTGACTTTTTCTCAAGACCGAGATTGGAAAGAGAGGTATCAAACTACATACTGGCCATTTCTTTAAAACTTGCTCAAAAGCTGGTTCATTTTATTTGCCGGACTTCTGAAGTAAAAGGGATGCTTGCGGGCACGGTGGTACATGTCTATAATCATAGCAGTTCTGGAGGCTAAGGCAGGAGGATCTCAAGTTCAAAGCCAGCCTCAGCAACGGCAAGGTGCTAAGCAACTCAGTGAGACCCCTGAGGGCTGGGGATGTGGCTCAGTAGTTGAGTGCCCCTAAGTTCAACCCCCAGTACCTACCCTCCCCAAAAGAGGGATGCTTTAAGACACCCACATGGCTCTCTCGCCATCTTAAAGTCTCTATTTAAGCTTCACCTTCTCAAGGAGGTCTACATACACCAAGCAGTTGAGACCACATCTGGCACACAGAGGATGCTTGATGAAGATTTGTTAAATCACTTATGAATAAATGAACAATGTGGGTAAGGTCAAATACTATCAGAAGCCACCAGAGTAAGGGCTTCTAAGTTTTATTTTTTTTAAAGAGAACCAAAATACATGAAAATGAAATTCAGAGAACTAAAATATGTCACAGTAAATAACACAACAGGGATGTAATGGCAGTTAGAGCAACCCAAAGAAAGATGTAATGCGGAGGAAGTAAAGACACTAATTTTTAACTACTGTAAATTAAAACTGAATGTTAAAGTTTCTTGAGAATCAGAGGCGTACTGTACAAACCCATTTGCATATAGTGCCCAAACAAGCAAAATCTACCTATGGTGATAGAAATCAGGAGAGTAGTTAACTGGGGAGGTTGGTTGGGTGCTGATGACTAGAAAGGGGTGTAAGAGGGGCTCCCAGGAGCTGTGCTGGTCATAGTGCTGTGTTCACTTTTAGGAATTCACCCAAATGCTTACAAGAGAGCTGTGCTTGTTGGTAGGCGTTCATATCACACTTCAGTGGAAAACCACCACAAAAATAAAAAATATAGTGAAAGTCATCCAAACTAGAAGATCTAGAAGTGGGTGGGGAACCCTCAAACAACCCAAAAGAAAGCGGTACATGGGCCAGGCATGGTGACACATGACTATAATCCCAGAATTCAGGAGGCTGAGGCAGAACTGCAAGTTGGAGGCCAGCCTCCACAATTTAGAGAGACCCTGTTTTGCAAGAAAATAAAAAGGGTTGGGGAGGTAGCACGGTGGTTAAAGACTAGCCTCGCCCGAGTGAAGCCCTGGGTTTGATCCCCAGTTCTGCAATAAACAAAAAGGAAAATAAATACAGAAACAGAAAATTCTGAAACTGAACAAAGGTATGAGAGCAAGTTTGGGAGATACAACTTGCCGAGATTGAAACCCACAATAAAAGAATAACACGTACAAAAATTTCACAGTGTATTTGAAAATTTAGATAAAATTTAGACAAATTATAAGAGTATTTAAGTTTGGATCCTATTTTTCTATATACCCCCAATATTTCATAATATAAAATGTTAACACCTACTTAAAATTCAGATTACATCATATTTTTTAAAAACCCTACCAATTTATAGGCAGAAAGTCTTTTTTTTTTTTTTAAACTTCAAAACTCAGGTGACTGAGCAGAAAAATTGTGGGTTTTTTTTTTAAACCCCACCACGGAGACAGGAAACCCTACCTGGGAGCTTTAAGTGCCTCAAAAGATTAGAAATAGGCAGATACAAGCAGCTCAGGAGCAGGCCAGGAGGAAACAGCAATCATTTGCCCCAGATAGAAAAATAAAGCTTCACTCATTTTTTGCACAGCTCCCATTATGATGTGCCTCAGTGTCCACAGATTTCTTTTCCCCCCTCCATACTTGAGCCATTTACAACAAATAGTTTAACAGGCTAACACTTACTCGTCATGTGTGTGTTGTCAGGGACTATTCCGGATGGATTACATATTTTTTTTTTTTAATATTTATTTTTTAGTTGTAGTTGGACACAATACCCTTATTTGATTCCTTCATTCCCATGTGGTGCTGAGGATCAAACCCAGCAATTGCTAGGTGAGCGCTCTACGCTGAGCCACCACCCCAGCCCTCTTTTTAATCCTTCTAACACAGCCGGGTGTCATTATACCAGTTTGATAAATTAAAAAGTCAGTAGAGTAACTTGTTCATAAACTCTTAAGTCAAGTGGCGCCAAGACTCAACCACAAAGTTACCTGCCACCTCCCCGCATCCATCCTTTTAAACCTGAAGGTTCCAGGCAGGAAAGTGACTACCGAGCCACTGCGAGTTCCAGGCAGGCTCTGCCAGGGACCCCACCCCACCCTGCCATATGGAGCACTCACCATTTGGATAACCTTTCGCAGAACAAAATACTTCTCAGTGAGGTCCCCTGCCTCACTCAGTGGGGCATCATAGTCGTAGCTGGTGGGCTGTGGTGCATAGGGCGTGTTGGCCCCTAGAAGTAAAAAAAAAAAAAAAAGTACCACCAGTTACTACTGAAGGCCCTGCTCGGGGACAAGTTCTTTGGGAGCTACAGTTACAGGATGATGGGAAGAAGAAATAAAGAACACATTAAGGGCTGGGGATGTGGCTCATGCTGTAGCGCGCTCGCCTGGCAAGCGTGCAGCCCGGGTTCGATCCTCAGCACCACATACAAAGATGTTGTGTCCGCTGAAAACTAAAAAATAAATATTGAAAAATTCTCTCTCTCTCTTTCTCTCTTTCTTTAAAAAAATATAGTTTTCATTAGAAATTACATTTGTAAGCTATTTAAAGATATGAAACATTAATAATATATGCAAATTCTAAAGGATAATGATTTAAGTAATGTATGTAATGCAATTGTTATGTAGTAAGTCAAATCGAAAAAAAAAATGCGAAAAAAAAAAAAAGAACACATTAAAACCAATTGTTAAGAGACACAGAGGTACGGGTGCAGTTGTGGCTCAGTGGCAGCGGGCTTACCTAGAATGTGTGAGGCACTGGGTTCGATCCTCAGCAACACATAAAAATAAGTAAATAAAGGTTTAATTTAAAAAAAAGAGAGACATGCAAATTTGGAGGAACCAATTGTTCCTACAGATGGCACTTGCTAATAACACCAGAGTTCACAAAGCATTTTCCTCCTCCCCACCCCCAACTATAGAACCTCATAGCTGTGATCCTAACAGAAAAACAACCCCACTGGACAAGCAGAGAATCTGATGCTCCCTGAAAAATCTGCTAACATCTCACAAATAGTAATAGTAGGGCTCATAACATGACCCACATCTGTTAACCCTTCAATCCCTGATCTTTCTCATGTCCTCCAACTATATGGCAGAGAAAAGATCTGGTGGAGAGAGATGACCCTTGTAAGCCCCTTAAAGACAAAGGCACTCGCTCATTACCCCAGGTGCCAGATGTGTCCCTCTGAGTGTTGGCCTCTACTGTCTTACCCAATGTTACAACCTCCCTCAGAGCCCATATCCAACAACTGACCAGTGTGGGGACATAAAAATCGGCTCCCTTTGCCTTGAAGGGCCATGCCAGCTCCAGAGTTCCCTTTGGGATGTGCGAAGTCCACTCATGAAATTGCAACACAGCCCAATTTATCTGCCACAATCTCTCTTATGGGTGTTGCTCCCGAGGGCACACAGAGTGAACTTCCTGCCTGGTAAAGGAGTCTATTTCCTTGGGAACTTGACCTATCATAAAGACCAAGGCACTGTAGCAGTACTAGGCATTCAAAAGGACTAGAAAAGCAATGTTTTTGTAGTTAACGTCCAAGGGGCAGGGTCTAGATCAGAGGTTCCTAACCTCGTCACAGAGGATGTTCACATGTATGAAGCCATGTGCAATAGCAAGAAGCACTTTGAAAAGTTGCCCATGCATGGGAGTCACCTGTTAAAACATGCCTTCCAAGCCCTAGCCCGGGGATTCTGATCCAGCAGGTCAGAGTGGGACCTGTGACTACATTTCTAATAGGTTCCAGGGGGTGCTGATGCTGCCCTCTGTGGATCAGCAAGGCTTAGTGCCTTTCTCCTCTACTTCAGAAATCACTTCGCAATGCAAGTGTGTGACAGTGAAGCTACATTAGGATTCCTCTTTTGTCCCAACTAATGTTTAAGTAAATGAGGTACAAAATATAACAGGTAATAAAATTCCTTGGACAAAGTTTCAAAAATGATGGAGCCTAGCGGATCCTCTGGATGGATGGATGAATGAAGTTAAGGATCTAAGAACTTTTTCATTCATTGTTTAGACAGAATCTCTGTTTTGAAAGACCTGGACCATTCTCAACCAACTGCACTGACCCAGGCGTCTATCACTCCCTGCCATTTCTTACAAGAGACAGCTCACAGCCAACAGGTCTACCCGCCTCCGGGGAAGCACATGTTCAAAGGCATCCCTTCCCGTGAGACCTGAAGAAAAATAAAACCACATCCCTTGCTGCAAGGAGCTCACCTTCTTCGTGGCTCATCTTCTACCTCTGATGTGGCATGGATTGTGCTGCCTAGGTTTCGTATTTCTGTCTCACGCTGCACTAAATTGTATGCACGTTAAGGGTGGACTGTGCCTTACTGACCCTCGAGTCCTCCATCAGGGCCAGGCATGAAGGAGATGCTCAACCAGTGGGTCAAGTTGAGTTAAGCAAGTGTGACTTCTGGAAATAACCATTAGGGGCTGAGGGATCCATGTCCGAGGGTAAAGGATGGATGGGAAGACAAGACTTTGTTCTAGTTCATAGCAGCACAGGGCAGTGTCATAGAGAAACGGTGCGTATGGAATCCTCCTCTCGCCATGTGAATGGGAGTGAGGCAGGAAGGCAAGAGAAATGGCAAAGGTTGGCACTCTCCAACTGTCCACACCACATGGAAGTTTAGGACACCTGGGTCCTGCAGGCTGCCATCACACAGACACGGACACTCACAGGCACAGGCCACAGGGATACACACTGCACAAACGCCTGCACTTGCCCTAGGTAGGATGGGCAGTGAGCCCCTCCAGACGTTCTCTCTGTACTGTCCTCTGGGAAGTGGTCTGAAAAATAGCTACTAGGGACAGACTGGCCCTCCCTCAACTCCCTAAAGAGCCAGGGCCAGAGGGCAGGTCCAGAGGCACCTGGACAACCCAAGTGGGCTGCTTTGGAGCTGGTTCAAGGGCTACAGGCTGTAGAGAGTTATCCAAAGGGCAGCAACTCTGGTTCAATGAAGCCTGAGTTTGAATCCAGGCCCCATCCTTTGCCAGCTGAACAGGAATGTGTAGACCCCATTTTTGCATGCAGATTCTCTTATCTGTAAAGTAGTGTCCATCATCTCTAGCCTTGATGAGAATGATGTGCAAACTAAATGAGAAAACAGAGGCAGAAAAGAGACTTCTATTGCTTATACCAGAGGAGGGGCAGGAGAAAGGATTAGGGGCAGCTTTTTCTGTTCTAATGACAGTTTTAATATTGTTCAAGTTTCTTTGCTAAGAAGAATGCATTAAGAATAGCACATTTTAATTACATACAAGAGGAAGTGAGGGGAAAGGGAAAAATAATACAAGGGGGAGAAATGAATGACAGTAGAGGGGTAGAGAGAGAAGAGGGGAGGGGAGGGGAGGGGAGGGGAGGGGGGATAGTAGAGGATAGGAAAGGCAGCAGAATACAACAGACACTAGTATGGCAATATGTAAATCAATGGATGTGTAACTGATGTGATTCTGCAATCTGTATATGGGGTAAAAATGGGAGTTCATAACCCACTTGAATCAAAGTATGAAATATGATATATCAAGAACTATGTAATGTTTTGAACAACCAACAATAAAAATTAAAAAAAAAATAGCACATTTTCAAAAACTGTCAAGAACTGTAAAGTTGTGCCAAAAAACAAAACAAACAAAAAACCACTATTCCTGGACAGGCTGAATTCCATCAATGGCAGCAGGAGGAAAGAGAAGGTGTCAGAGTTTTAACTGTTTCTAACCAGAAGATAGACACATGGAGATTTTTTAAAATACCAATGACCAATTTTGGCATACTATCATCTTTTAAGCAGTGACCTTTGAAGATTTTTTCTTTTTTCAGTACTGGGATTGAACTCAGGGATTCATACATATTAGAAAAGTATTCTTGGTTGAAGCTACATCCCCAGCCTTTTATTATTTTGAGACAGGGTTTCACTAATTTGTCCAGTATGCCCTTGAACTTGTGATCCTCCTACCTCAGCCTCCTGAGGAGCTGGGATTATAGGTACGTGCTATAATGCCTGGCTGGTGTTTGAATTTTATAAGCATTTCTTAGCTCTAACAATAGAAATGAAACTGACAATGCTATAAGCAATGTCTTCCAGCCCATCCCACCTTGCAAAATAGCAGGTCCAAGGAAAAACTGTATTAAGTGCTGATAGTATTCAATTTCAGATCCTGAGGGATTTAGGCTTAAGCTAAGCCTCCAAAATACAATGGTCAAGCATCTTCAATGATCCAGAGAGAAAAATGCAGATGAAGAGAAAGGTGAGGAATGAAGTTTACATATATATGTAAATATATGTGTGTGTGTGTGTACACACACACACACACACACATATATATATATATGTGTGTGTGTACACACACACACACACACATATATATATATATGTGTGTGTGTACACACACACACACACACATATATATATATAT